GCAGGTCTGCCAATCTGCACCTACGGCTACTTGATCTACCCTAAGTGATTTGGCCAAGAACATAACAGCTAATATGCAATCAAACTGCCAATTTGGGCTGAGGGCAAACTCTCTACACCGATTTTCTTTCAAATGTACGGTAATAAAATTTCAGTGCTTTTATTATTATTTAGTCCCATGTTAATTGACAGCTGGCATTTGCCTAGAGGTGGGATGTGTTTCAGAGTGACAAATCTCAGAACAAACTGTGTAAATATGCAGAAAAGGTGAAGACTCGGTCACACAATTAAGACAATTACAGCCCAACTTCCAAATTTGGCATGTCACTTGTGGCAGAGTATAATTCCCATTTAACGCTTCATTTGGCTCAAAATGGCTGCCCTGGTGTAATGGATGAGATCAGGGAGAACAAAGGCGAGCGGGAGCGTGTGAGTCTCTGCAGAGGAAATACCGTTGACAGAGTAATTTTGATGAAAGCTGACAGCTAATTTATTGAGCATATTTTTGAGTAAATCATATTTTCCTGCTTTGACTTCCTGAGTCGTTTTCGATAATTGGATTTCCCCAAAGTTTCTATGTAGAAGTAAACTAGTTCATGGAAGACTTGACGACAAAGTGTGAATGTGTGTGTGTGTACTGACGCTAACATTATCTGGAAGCAGATAGATGACACAACAAGTATCCCTTTTAACATACATGCTTGAAGACTGCACTACAGGTTTATACAGTAAAACTTTACAGAAGAATACTGCCATCATGTTCCCCACTGGCAAGATTTAGTTAGAAGTTAGATTTTTGGTGGAAGATAAAAAACCTATCTGTATAACTTTGCTCAGTTTATTTTCTTAGTAAAAACTTCTGCAAAAACTTAAATAGATCTCATGCTAGAAGAATTTTCACATCCGTGTCTTTCTGAGCAGACCAAATACTATTGCAATGACGGACACTGGTAAAGTCTTTGAGCTGGTTATTCCATTAGCACTTCTGGAGAGCTAAAATTGCTATTAACATGTTTTTTTCTCATTTTGTGCTCAGGTGGCATCTCTTAAACCAGCAAAAGGGTAATTGCATAGCTGTGGTTGGCCGCTCTAATAACTGACTATTACTAACAACCTAGTTTAGTCCTTTTCAGTCAATCACGAGCCATAGACACAAATGAAGACAGCAACACAAGCACACACTTCTTCACAAGCTCATTTTCTCTCTCTTTCTCCCTCTCTCCCCTCACTCTCCCTCTGTCTCAATTTCTTTCTCTCTCCCTTTTCCACTCTCCTTCCCTCTCTCTCCCTTCTCTCTTTTTCTCTCTCCCTACTCTCTTTTTCTCTCTTTTCCACTCCTCCCCTCTCTCTCCATCTTCTCTCACTGCATCTAATTGCTTCGAGTGTTGTGTCTTTATGAAGCTATTCCCAAAGGTGGGCTCCTTCCTTTAGCATGTGCACAACAGAGTGTGTGTTGCTCCGAGAAACTGAGGAGAAAATGGCAGAAAGACGAGCGGAAAGTGACAGCGAGCTTGTTATTTTAGCAGTGAAAAGAACACAGCTATGGAGAGAGGCTCACCTAAAAAGGATGCAAGTCTAAATAGAAGGCTTTCTCATTCTTAGTGCAGGTTAAACAATGTTTTATAGTAGGGGATAACAGAAAAAACATTGAGCAAAAACAAAGTAAGAGTAAGTGGTGAAAAGCTGAAGCCTGATTCATCAGCTGGTTTCACTTCGTAGAAACTGTCTGACCTTGCAGCATTAGGATCTGTTCGCTCGACGGTAGGTGGGTACTTTTTTATTTAACCAATCGCTGCTATTTGGTCGAGACGCATGTAATGCGCTGGAAGTGGTGTCAGTGGTGTCCAAGTAATTGTCGGCTTCACAGCTCTTTGCTAATTAGCCGGTGCGTGGTCTACAACTTCCGTGATTCTTGCAAACCATCAAGTGGAAAGAAATAAAATTGAGTGGAGGCTCTAGGTGGTGCGAGCCTGGTTAGAAAAGAAGGGCATCTGCTGCAAATTTGCAAGCCATTGTACAATTTATGGTATTATAGTTTAGGGTTGTCCCGATCCGATCACGTGATCAGAAATCGCCACCGATCACGTGACTGCGAACTTGATCCGGACTTGGCCATTATGGTCCGATTAAGTATCAGATAAATAATATAAGTATATAACACACAGCACACACAGGACACACAGCAGCCAATGCTTGGGCGCTTGTTACCTGGGGTTCTGTGGGGCGTGTTCACACCTGCGTGGCCGATGGCGTCGTCGCATGGCGCTGTTTGTTTGCATGTTGTGCAGTGGAGTTGGCACGTTTGCCGGGGAGGGTGGGAAAAGCGGCAGGGAGTGTCATCTCGTTTTTATTTGGTATGATCTTGTATTATTTGGATATCATAGACGAGCCCTAATGTTTCAAATATAATGCACATGCCTCCATATATTATCAAAAATACAAACTCTAGATTGTGAAGAGTCTTGTCTCAGGGTCTGACCTGATTCTGGTCCGGTTCCTGTTTTGTCCAGTTCATTAAGTTAACAAGTTACACATTCAAAGACCATACTGTGCATACTGTGGTAAAAGTAAAGATTTTCAACAATGATGGTGCATGGTTAGAAAAGTTAATAAAATGAAAGTTTTGGACATTTGATTTTTCACAAGTTCAGCCCAAATACTACACTTTGAAGTCAATACAATCTGATCCCCCCTTAGATCCTGGGTCTTGTTCTTTGCTCTTAGTTCATTTCAGTATCGGATCGGGACTCGATAGTGGCAGATACTCAAAATCAAATGACTCGGACTCGGGGTGCAAAAAAAATGTGATCGGGACATCCCTATTATAGTTAACAGATTTACAAATAACATAAGACAGTCTTTTGATGTTTACTAGCTGTTCTTTTTAATAATCTAAAAAGCAAATTATAAAAATTAATTGAAGCAAACAACATTAGTTAGTGCTTATTTTTCAGCTTTTTATTTTTTTTTATTTTTTACCATAACTCCTTAATTCCCATTTCTTACATATAGCTAAAAACCTCACACAGCTGTAGTGTAAATCAAACCTAATCTTTCTATAACTCCATCATTTTCAAAAATACTGACAGCTCTATTTTTAACAGTCCCTAGTTATCATATGTCCTCCATGCTTCTCTTTCATACATAAACTTAAGTCTTTGTTCAAACAGCTGTAATATACATCAAATGCACCTAATCCTTCTACAACTCCACCATTTTCCAAACTGGACAGACACAACCCCATCCTAGCATTACATTACAGAGCCCCAGTCCAAACAAATGTAATGCAAATGAATTTAATCCAAGGTAATCTAGTCAGGATGGACGGAGCCAGCGCATGGTTCCAGTGGTCCGCCTCAATACTGCTCTGTGCAGATTAGTGCTGGCGAAAAGGGGAGAGGAAGGCAACAGTTGAACATGCAGATGGAGCACTAATGAACACAAAACCGAAGCAAATAACCAGCCCAAAAGTCTATGCCAAAATCCAAACAGCTCTGAGTAACACTGTAGAATAACAGCATATATTAAACAGTAAATATCCTAGTACAATTTATATTAGCATTTTATATTGGTGACTAATAATTTGTACGTTATATTTTGTTACCTGTTTACCCTTAGAGTGAACAGTAAAGCTGAGCAAATATCAGATCACAATTTTCTCAAAGCCCATAGGCCACAACTTTGACTCAATTAGAGGCTTTATTATAGCGCTCAAACTTCACAGAGGCTGACTAATGAGAGGAGGGGATGACAAAAAGCTCTTCAGATTGGCAAAGTGTCTCTAGGTAGATCACAAGATTTTACAAAGTTTAACAAACATACACGAAATAACACACAATAGGTGAGGTTCAACAAAAAGGGTTATAAATTGGAGTGAGCTTTGTAAACTATTTTGACAATCGCGTCTCAAATTTACCAGCTTTCAATCTCAAATAATACGATATTTTTTCCATCACATACGTTTCCTCTTTTTCTATACATTTTTTCATTTTCAAAGGATCACTCTTTAACCAATTCCTTGTTATAACTTTCTTGCCATCAGCATCACTTTAAGCAAATACAAGTCCTCAGTTCAAAAAAGTGCATAACATGTGGGTCATTAGGTATTTCATAGCCAAATACCTCTTCCATTACTGTTGCACACAATTTGATTTTAAATTTAAACATGTTAACAAAGACCAGAATTGCACCAGAATTTCTACACAGGTAAAACTATTGTACTGTAAATCAGTAAATGTTGTGTTTTCCCTAGAGAGTACATTATAAAAGCAGCACTTTATAACAGAATTAGAGACTACTGCTGTGACTAAAATGTATTTTATTTCTCATTAACCTGAACACTGTGCTTGAATGTGTGTGGGTATTAACAAGGGTTAGTGAGAAACAAATTTAAAAACCTCCTTCCTTCTTTCACTGTGTGAAAATCAGGCACTCTTAAATTAAACTAATAACGAGTACTACTAATGAATACTACTCGCCTGACCAGCCATTGCCTTCTACATTCTGTCTGAATCCAGACGGGACCATAAAAACCAATTTTAGATGATCCAATTTTTAGTACTCATCCCTCAAATGCAGAAGACATCTAATCTCAAAAAATCTTGTAACATCCAGAACTATATAACTTCTTTTACCTGAAATAAGTAATAGTTTGGTGTTTTGATTGTTGATTCTCTAAAAATCTGCACTGTTTCTCAATCCTTTATGTAAAATGTTCTCCTTTTTACGTGTAAGATCATGTTTGTTTGTATATGAACAGAGCTTGCGTCTCTCTGATTGGTTAATCCGCCTGTCAATTACGCCCTCTGAAATCAAGGAGAGAGAAGAGGGCTCCAGATCCACTCGTCTTTGTAAAGTTTTGTTAAAGTGTGTGGTTCTGGTTGTCCAGGCAAGACTACTACTTCAAATTCAGACATCCGAAAGTTTGACCTCTTGATAATTGTCTCTGTGTACTTTCTTATGAGTACTACAGTGAGTGTATTAGCCTCTGTGGGCCTGTACCTGGAGTGTTGAGCAGTCTGGACATGCGGCAGCTGTAGGCGATGCTCTGTTCACAGTACTCTGCGCTGGTGGTGATGGCTGTCATCTGCACAACACAAAGCAGCCACAGAATTATGTTTCAACACTTAATCTTATTCAGACAGACAGGCCAATTTCATGTAAAGGACGAATTATCACGCTGCAAATTGGAACAAGTGAGTGATAATGTTGTTCATTCTTTTCTTACAATGTGAGGGGAATAAACTAAGTCGAGCATGTTAATTATAAAAATGACTTAATTATTTTGTGATGTTCTGTAGTGTCATCTGGTTGGCTGGTCCACATTACAGAGAATGGTAGTTTAAAGGTGCACTGTGTAACTTTTTCCGCTATCTGCTCCATGGAAATGTTGTTGCTTTGTCTAGAATGTTCCACAGTACAGATTAAACCTATCAAGAAGGAGACAAGCAGGTTACCGCACTACACTACATTACAACTCAGATCTGTGGAGAGTCTACCCTATTCACTGAAGGAAAGATTGTATTTTAGAGCTGACCCTCCACCAGAAAAGTTACGCAGTGCATCTTTAAATGTTCTGAATGTTCTAAAGTTTAGAATGAGTGTTTTTTTAAATAAGAGACAACAACAGCAGCATTCACTGCAAAGATTTAGGAAGGTAAAGATAGAGCAAGATAAGATAAAGGAAGATGTACTGGGATTGTGTCTAAAACATAAATAGAGAATAGAATGTTTTATTTTAGTTTTTACAACGTATAGTTACTCTGTAAGATAAGATTGGCAACCATTATTTTAATGTGGCTATAGTTAAACTGAAGAGGGCACAGATAGCATGGGACTGAATGATATAGACCAACTTCTCAAATTATTAAACAAAATAATAAATTATATACTCCACTGTTAAAACCCCATTATCTACAAACTAACTTTTAATTACAAAGAAATACATAAAGGTGAAGTGTGTGACGTGCTCTCACCTGGTCTATGGTGGCGCTGTAGTTCACCTGTAACACTGTGCGCTTCTCTCGACTGGAGCCAGTCACAGATGTTCTGGGAGGCAGGCTGTTCGTGACTGTCGTCCACACATTTTCTTCTGCAAAAAAAGAAAAAAAATATATACACATTATTATTTAAATTGGAAGTATACTGAAAATGTCATCTTAAGCATGAATAAAGGAGGATTTACTTTCATATGTGAGAGGTCTGTTTGTATTAAAATAGGCATCTATTAAAATGATTGACAATAAAGTTAGACCCAATTTGTTTTTAATGATGAGGACTGAATTTTGTTAGTCTGATTCACTTAGTAGAAACCGTCTGACCTCGCAGCGTTAGAATTTATTCGCTCGACAGTAGACAAGTACTTTATTTCACTTAACCAGTCGCTGTTATTTGGTCGTGACTAACTGGTATATTAAGGTTTTCTCAAAACCCGTTGGAAGAAGGGCAATAATGTCTTTCCCCAGGATAAAATTCACCAAACATTCTCTATGTTTCAGCTTTAAAGGTTGTATAGAGGATTTTCAAAGGAACGAGAAATCCAGCGACTGTTTGTCCTTTTTCAAATGTTGCGCATGCGTGAAACCACCCCCCCTCCCCTACAGCTCCCTACGTAGAAACGCCTCCTCCCGCCTCCTCCTTATGCCAGAAACAGGTTTGTTTACAGCCGGTGCGCTGCACATGACTTGTAAACAACTAACTACAGTGTTGGTTAGGCAACGTGGAGAAGTGAGGAGCAAGGGGGAGCGGGTGTGCGGACATTTCGTGCGCGGACGAGAAGTGAGGACCAGGGAGAAGAGCGGAGCAGGGAGAGGAGAGAGGAGAGGGGAGGGGAGAGGGGAGCGGTGCGCAGAGATTCCGTGCGCGGAGAAGTGAGGAGCAGGGGGAAGAGCGGAACGGGCAGCGGGGAGAGGAGCAGGAAAGGGGTGCAGAGAAGGGTGCGCGGAGATTCAGTGCAAATGAACTAGCTACAACACGCAGCAGCAAGCGGACTCTTTCTTTGCCTTGAAAATTACGTTTTCAGACATAGGATATCGCTTTCGTGTCCTGAAAAACGTTTGACTAGCTCTTGGAAATAAAGTACGTTTTCATAATAAGCAGAAGTGACCTGTCCAGGAGTAATTTGGCGACCAATGCGTCAGTCTTTAGACCCTGCGTCTGCTTCAGTTGCGCCATCGCTGGAATGAATCTTCAAGAATCACCTTAGTTTGGCTTCGCTGCTTTTCCCCTTGTCTTCTTCTTTCAGCAATCTCAAAAATGGACTTTCTTTTGCGGCTAACTGCTCCTGGATTCTTGTCTGCCATTGCAACAAACTTTGTGCTAACTGCGAGGAAGATATAGGTCAAAAAAAGCCGCTAAGAACTGTTGCGTTGGTGGAGTAAACAGCGTCTGTGCGGCTTGCGTTTGTGGACTGTGACAGGTGTACGTAAACCACGTACCGGTGGCGCGCAGGCAAGTCAGTTACGCTAGAAACGTAGGGAGATTGATTGACAGCCTGTCAGCTTACAGATAACGAGGCAGTGTCGTTATCTATTGACAAATGTTTAGCCCCACCACGTCCAGAGTTGACGAATTTTGATTCTCTTTTTTTTGGTCATCATAATTACAAGGCTACTGCATCTCTATAATGCTATCATTGACAATTTGAAACAAAAAAAAATCCTCCATACAAACTTTAAATCCTCAATCTCGGGAATCGTTGCCAACACAGAATATATGGCTCTTCGCTGATTGGCTGGTACTCGAACTTGCACTTCTGAGGTTTTTGTGAACCATCTAGTGTATTCCAATTCCTGATGTAGTTGCTGGAGAAAAATGAAATGGAGCGGAAGCACTAGGTGGTGCCAGACTGGCTAGAATTTTGTATAAACCAAGACTAAACTTAAAGCATGGACATGGCCAGGAATAATCAATCTAGTGTCCAGTATTTTTGAACAAGTTGTTTAATCTAAACTACTAGTATTGCAATTTACATCAAAACTATGCAGCTTTAAACAAAATTTTGTGTTTTTTCTATGACAGTGACAATAAAATCTTGAATCTTAGTGTACAAACAATGTACAATTTAAAGCTGCTCTATGTAACTTTTCAGGTGGGCAGTTTGACACCTGCTGATCTCCATGCAGATGTTATATGTTCCACAGTATTACACAGTATTAGCAAATAAAAACATCAGTAATTTAATACATGAAAGATGGAGTTTAAGATCAATGCCACACTGTGGAACATTCCAGGCAAAGCAATAACATCTCTGTGGTTAAAGGCAGGTAGCGAACCCCTCCCACCAGAAAAGACATAGTGCTCGACTGTTCCTTGTGTATTGATTTGTATTATTTTCTGTAAGCACTAAAATAATGCAATTAGGCCTGTCACAATAATACATTTTGAAGTTCGATTTATAGCTGGAGTAAATATAGACGATAAATTATAATCCTGAAACTAATTTATGCCACTGACACAAAAACCCAAGAGCAGATTTAAACCACAAAAACTACTCTAAATGAACAATATTGTGGGGAAAAAAAAACAAAAAAACAATTTCGTACTTATTTGCATCTGTAATGAGTTATAGAAGTTATTTATTCAACCTCACATAGTCAAAAATAACCAAAAATTTCTCAGTGCACTGAAAATGTACACACAATGAATACTGACCTGCAAAAAATAGTTCCAGCTTTCATATATTGAATGATAATTCTAATAGTAATTATCGTGACTGAACCTAACTGCACTGTCATCAATGTTAGCAGCAAAAAAGACTACAGGCACAGCTCATATACTGTAGTTCTGGCAGACCGTACAAAGACAGTGTGTTTGCCTGTCACACCATAGAAGCTCTGTGTAATGTGAATTTCAGCTTGTGGACTCCAGGGCTTAATAGACACTTTGGGGTGTTATAACATGCAGCAGTCATTCACGCAGTCAGACAGGAGCGCGTGCTGGCCTCTGAGGTGCCGACAGAGAGAAAGCAGCTCCTCTCAGGTGAGTGAGAGAGAGAGTGCTATTCAGCGTGACTAAAGGGGCCAGGCAGCGGAGTGCACTGACATTTCATTAAAGGTGTCGCCTTTGCTATGCCTGCGTGCCCCCCTGTTCCAACCCACTTACTCCAGTCTGTGTGTGTGTATTTGTGTGCATGTGTATGTGTGTGGGCGCTGCTTTACAAATGGGTGTAATAATATTCATGCGGTGTGGATTCTTGGGTGTTATTACTGGGTGTTAGAAACTTCAGGTTTGCATAGTTAGAAAAACAAGTGAATTGAGTAAACAAAGTCTTCTTTCTGTAGGTTAATTTATTCATGATTTTATTTTTGAATTGACCTTAATTTAAGGTATATCGTGTATGTATAAAATGGACATAGCTAACACGCGAGCCGCCACGTTCCAAATAGGAAGTGTTCATGGGCACGCTTCTGGATAAATCTACTATGGAACGCTATGACTAACATCATACTCACTTAGTCCACTTCTTTCTACCGTCTGTGAGGTATTTACATGACCTGTCTATATGGTCCCATGAACGAGAACAATGAGGTATCTATACTGTAACCTTACCAATACTAGTTTTAGTGAACCATGTGTGGAAAAGTTAAAACTATTTGTCACTGCAATGTTTGTGCTAGTTTTACATGGAGTTATTTTTCTGCCTTTCCACCTCTGCCTATAGCATATAACTTAAATTCCTAGTTCAAAGGATGTCATAAAAGTCTGTTTCTATACTTTTTCTGTGGATGATGTATTGTAACGGCCATGACTTGGACTCTTTATACCTAACTGAAGCAAAGAAACTCTCCATATTGTGCTAAGAATTGTGCCTGTGAAACATCCTTTGAGAGAAACCTCGGCCCTGTGACCATGTTGTCATAGAAACGACAGGTATAGCAGGTTAAAAGCCGAGCTGTCTAAGGTTAAGAGAGAGGTGGACAGCTGTGTCGTCCCTCCACAATAAGGGTCAATAATCCGTGTACCCCACATACAGAGACTGGCACATACCTGTCATGTTACAGTTCACTTTGAAGGGACTGAGGGGGCCGCTGCCGTCAGGGTCGATCCAGTAAGTATCAGAGGACCTGCCCAGGTGCTTATAGGCTTCACACGACGGCTCGTAGATAGCTGCAAGAGGAAAACATATTTACTAAATGTTAGGGCCAATATTACACTATTTTCTGATCTATTTTATAATGTCGTTTCCTCATCACAAACATACCTGGAGTTGTGTTTTGTTTCATTTCATTCACACATGTTTACACTGCATTATTTAGGTATTAGGAGTTCTTCTCTCAATCTGAAAACACTTGTGGGAATGATGAAAGTGCTCCACCATATTTTTAAATTCCATTCATGATCACTAGAATAATTTGGCTAATTTCAGCCATTTTCCACTGAACAAAAGGTAAAAGGTAGCTGTTAACTTGAATACTAACACTACATGACATCACAAGGTGGCACAGAGCATTTTGAGCTTTGGCAATGTAAAAAGACAATAAAGGATTACTCAAGCATGTGTGAATGAAACAAAACGAGATAACAACATTATAACTTGGCTAAAGGCCAATTTTGTGTAATATAGGACCTTTAAAGCCTACACAGACAAAACAGTAAATTAGTGTTATATCTTTATCGCCTGTAGCTCTTAAAGAAACACTGATATGTAATGTTTTTAGTAGTGTCTGTCACTTGCTTGTCTCCACAGGGATGTTATTGTTTTGCTTGTAAAGTTCCATAGTAAGGCATTACATTATAATGTGTTTATTCAGTTACTGCATTTACATTGCTCAAAAAAATGCAGTCGCCACTCCACAGATCTGACCTATAACTCGCTTGTGTCCATGGGGATAAATGAGTTTAATCCATTACTGTGGATAATTCCAGGGAAAGCCATAACATCTCCATAGAGACAAGCAGGTGATCGACCCTCTATAAGGAAAAATTATATAGTGCACCTTTACTTAGCTGAATTGTGTTATGAACACAGAAGATGTATTGTTATGGTAAAACATTTGTGACACAGTGTACAGTTTACCTTCTCCAAAAGATTTTAAACAAGCCTTAAATGTTCCAAAATTAGTTCTTAAGTACTGCTGCTTTTTCGCCATTAAGTAAATTTCATTTGATTATTCTTTAATAGTTCGTGTTCAGTCTCTATTACTTTCTAATCTGCACATCAGTCATGTTTAGAGCAACTGCAGTTTGCTTTTGCACAGGGGTCAAAAGTACAAAATATGCACTAAGTGGTTTCAATTTAGGTTACATCATTCTTTAAATTCTAGTAAAAAATACATATGTAAAAGCACTCGCGTAACAATGTAAAGTCAATGTGTTACAAAAAGTGTGATTTTTATGTGGGCTGAGTCTGCCCTGAACAGAAGTGAAAGGATTGCACATGGCTGATGTAAACCTCTGACCTTAAATGCACACAGACAGAAAGAAGAGGTACTTGAAAAGAGAAATGTGTGTGACTGTTTTGATCAAGAAGGAATCGATGAAGCTTTAAACTGGTCTAAAAAAAACTCCTCTTCCCCTCCGGTAGCCATCTTGCTTTCCTTCCATCCCAGCCTTTGATTTTGCTCTTTTTATTGTCTTCCCTTAAACTTTACTATTCTTTTTCATTGTATCCGGGGACGGCTTGATTACAGGGCTTTTGCAGTTTTGTGTTGTGTGGCTCATTCGATTTTAGTGATGGAGTTACTTGCTGTGAAAGCACGTTCTTCAAGGAAACTGTGTTTGGTGGGAGTGACCCTGGACTGCTACTTTCACAAGAGTTGCACTAAACTCCAGGAAATTGGGAGATTTGTCTGGGTTCAAATGTATGGGTCAGGATTGTGCTGAGACGCCGGGTCAGGGAAATGTGTCTGTAAATACAAAAAAACATGGCACTTTTTTAAAGTACTAAATTGATCATGTTCTGCCCAAACCTCTATTTTCTATTTTATAATACAGTTACCGGTAGTTAAAGCCCCAGTATGCAACTTTTTGGCCAAAAAAAAAGCATGTTTATTATTATTATTATTATCATGATTATGGCACTGAAAAACACATGTCCTCACTTGGACAGGCTCTCCACAAACCTGATTCTTATTTGGTCTGGAAGAGGGCCACCTGCTTACTTCCATGGAAATGTTGTTCCTTTGGCTATAATCTAGCCAGGCTGGTGCCACCTACTGCCTTTGCTCAATTTAATTTCTCTCCAGCGACTAAGTCAGGAATCAGAATACACTAGACAGTTTGTAAAAACCCCAGAAGTGGGAGTCCGGGCACCAGCCAATCAGCAAAGAGCCATACATTCTGTGTTGGCAATGATTCCAGAGATCGAAGATTTAAAGCTGGAACAAAAAGAGTGTTTGGTGAATTTTATCAAGAGGAAAGACGTTATTGCCCTTCTTCCTACGGGATTTGGGAAAAGCTTAATGTGCCACTTAGCCCCATTAGCAGCGCATTACATACATCACCATCAAATAGCAATGATTGGTTAAATGAAAAATCAGTACCCGCCTACTGTCAAGTGAACGGATTCTCATGCTGCGAGATGGTTTCTATGACGTGAAACCGGCTGATGAATCAGGCTAATAATCTTCCACAGCATGGCATAAAACTATGTCCATGATAACATTCTGAAATATTGTTTTAACTTTCTATTTGCCTGTTTGAATCACACAGTTGACTTTCCACCTCCAGAAAGTTACATATTATTACTTTAAAATAGGTAGTATGTTAGGTATGGTTTTCTTGTACTGCTTGAACCAAGATGAATAAAGAAGTGCTGAATAAAATGGATAAATAAATGTTCCTAGAATCGCAATGTGGATCAATATCTATAAAAAGGGCTTTTGGCTTATTTGGCTTTTTAAGTCTGTAATAAGACTAAAGAAGTTAAAGCTGACTAAAAGGACTAAAAGGGCTAATACAATAGAGGACGAATTGTTTATTTAATTATTAATTTTTTATTTACTTAGTCACGTTTGCATGTCTTTCACTGGCAGAGAAATGAACTGAAGCTAGACAGGCTAAGATCGTGCGCTATTATTTGTTGATTGCCCCCGTACCCCTGTTTGAGAACCACTAACAAAAGCCAAGACTTTTGCTGCGATAACTTCAGAGGTTAACGGAAAATAAGTTTTAGAAACTAAAGATTTCTACAGAGAAACTTTTTTAGCAGAATCCAAACAAAAGATACAAAACCGATAAAAGTCTGCCTCAAAGTTTGCACTAAGCACTGGCCATGAGAAGTGTTTTTCCTTCCCCACTTGTAGCGGCGCGTCTTTATTGCTCCATTGAGAGGTTATAATGTTATGTTTTGGACCATTTTTGTAACTTGTGGCATTGAAATTTGGTATAAACTATTAAACCTCTCCCTAGCTTGCATTTTATGTTAGGCTATTCATATTTCACTTGGTATTATGTGCATATAGTTTAAAAGTAGCCAGTATTTTGGACATATGGGACTGTATGGTGGCCATCTAAAGTCAAAATCTGCTTCCCCCTCGCCTCCTGACACTGTGTACTGGAGCCTTTGCCTCTTTTTCAAACCAAACACGCAAAGCAGATGGAGCGGCCCCGGGTTTCCGAGCACTTCTAAAGTTCATCTGTCCCTCCACTGAGGATTGTGACTGAGACAGAAACAGTGTAATAACTCAAACGTGAAGGGAGGGAGCCAATGGGAAAAATACAGAGAAAAGTATATGGACAGAGCAAAGTTTTGGACATGATACTCACAAGTGTGGCAGGTGGCGCCGGTGTACCCTGTCCCATCACAGGTACAACTGAAGCTGTCCCACGTCTGTCTGCACCCGCCTCCGTGCTCACAGTGATTCGGCATACACCTACAAACAGAAAGAAGAGGATTCATGCTATAATGGCAGAGATAATGTTGGGGTTTGGAATAGGAATGCTCTCCCCTTCCAGACACCAGACACAAAATGATGCATTAAAGTTGCACTATGGATGAAAGTGACGTCAACAGGCTAAGTTATATGTCAGATCTGAGGAGAGATGAGCCTGTTCACAGTTACAATGCATGATTATCAATGAATGTTTAAAAAAAATCTGTAATTAAATAAATGCAAGACAAAATGTTTTATCACGTATTGTATGAAAAAAGGACCCTGAATCAGAAAAAAATCACACATTGCAAAAAATTCACATTGTTGTGAAGCTGACAATATTAAATTTTGCTTTCATTATCATTCTGACAAAATACAAGCTTTGTTGTTTTATTTGTCCATTGGGAACAAATTCTAAGGCATGAATCCTGTTGCAAAAAATCATCTTGTATCTATTAAATAATTGAAATAGGCTAAAATACACATTGTCACATTAATAACTACAGGCGTCCTTTAAACACTGAGATGCACATTAAGTCTTGTAGCCCTGTTAGGAAAGTAAAGATAGTTTGTGTTTTGAAGGGCTGTGGAGGTTTACAGAAAGTAGTGCGTAATAGAAATTTCTATTTGAAACTGAATGCATTTGAGGCTTTTCTGGCTCCCCCTGATTCAGGTCCCACTGCTAATACCTGTACTTTATATCACAACATCTTTATATCCAATCTCTCCACACTGGTGCGTTTTTTACTTTGTGTATGAACTGTGCTATATAAATACACTTGCCTTGCCTTGATTTTTCCACTATATTATCTAATGTACCACTATGCCTGTTATGATAGTACATACATTAAAAAACATACAGTACCTAATTACTAACAGATCCTAAAACTAGTATAAAAACTAGAAAATAATTTAAACACAACTAGTTATGTGTTCTGTTTAGGGATGGGCATGATTAGTCAATTAATTGATAATTTATCATTAAGAATTTCATCGATTATGTTCATTTTAATCGGCAAACCGAATGTAGGTTGCTGTGCGTAGCATAGGGTGACCAAACGTCCGTGTCTGGGGACAAACAGGGGTCCGCACATGTAGCTCTCTGCACTCAGAAGGAGCGAGCAGACACAAACAGTCGGTCCACCTGTGCCAAAGCGCAAATACGTATTTAATGATGACTTGTACAAGAAATTCCACGCTTTCCGTTGTGGTCGGGACAAGTGGGAGGCCATGTGCACAGTGTACAAAGCAGGCACATATATTTCGGTGTCCAGTGGGAAAAAGCTCACCAGGACACCGAGAACATGAAAAAGCTTTGCCAGGTGAGAGTAGTGCAGTCCCCACGTCCCACCCCCCATACGGTGTCCTGGTTTTGACAAACACAAGTATAGTCACACTAACCTGTATTCCACTGAGTCGTGCCTCATCAGCGCACAAGACCTGTTTTTTTTTTCTTTGCTTAGTTTATGCAAATTAGCCATGCGGTTTTAAGTTTCGTTTCTGTGAGAGTTGCGCAAAACTGAATTAAACACATTATAATGTCAAACGGGCTGATGTGGCTCTAGAGTGGTTACGGTTTATATGTCGTAAAGTTGAATTTATTTATGCAGATTAGTAGCGCAGATAGTAATAATAATGATGATACAGTTTAATATTAAAAACGTTAATGATTAATCCATAATTCTCCCGACGATGGATTAAGAAAATTTTATCGAATGCCCATCCCTAGTTCTGTTTAAAAAAACAAACAAACAAACAAAAACATTAGGATGAATAAAAATTACGTATTTTACTATCATGTTGACATCAAAAGTTCTGAACATTTTCTTTAGTACTGAAACCGAGGTGGAAGTTTAGTGTTGCGGCATCCTCATTTTCCAGATACAAGATATAAATACAAAATGGGTGAGCTCTTTGTATCAGTCCCAAGTGCTTGTGTCAGGAAGGAGATCTGAGTGCTGCAAAATCAATGCGCAAATCAATGCATTCTGGCGACAGTTGATTTTGAATGATAGCATAAGTTGGAAGACAAAATTTCGATTTGGTCACTTTGAACTGTTCATCACAATAATATATAAAAGCTGAGATGCACTCAAGATATGTCACACAATTTAGAAAATCAATTCAATTAAAGAAGTGCATTGTATTCACATGTCAAAATGTCTCTGGCTTCAGTAAGGTAACAAGGGCCAGATAAAAGGTATTGTATTTTAACAATAGCCAGCAATTGACGAGCAGCCACAATCACACCGGGCACGCTAAAGGACACCGACTTCTTGCTCTTCCTTTTGTGTGTAAAAGAAAGAAAAATCAATTACAAGAAGGGAACGCATTTAAATTTGGTTTCACGTATCATTGTGATCAGCTGGATACCCTTAAGAAGTGACAGTTCCAATGTTATTTGCGAACAAGTGGGAAGTTGGAGTTGGTGATTTTAGCCTCTTCCTAGAGCCATAGCATCCCACTGTGTACCTGCATTGATCAAAAACAGGTCAGACAGGGATATCGAACGGCCTTCAAAGACTTTCTGATTAGTTAGACGGTAACAGTGCGCACATTCGTCTTCCCATGGCAGTCCAGGCCATGCCCCCCCCCCAACCTTCCGCTACTGCTCCTCGGATACACAACATTTAAAAGTAATTGAGATTGGCAATAACGGGAACAATGGGAAGGCGCTATACAGGCAGCGGCGGACCTTGACAAAAGCTTCCAACTGGAGTCGTTAGCGTGCAAAGCTAATGCATGGCAATCTACAATAATAATAATTTCATACTACATTACCTCACACTAGCAAAGCAACACAAATGATAACAGAAGGCTGCAGGCAATTCCATTAATTACAAAAAAGCCATGAAAACTAATGTAGCTTTGAAAATTTTGGGTATAGCTTCAGAAACTAACCAGGTTCAAAAACTCTCCAGAAATTGTATATAAATTTTGCACAGCTATACTGAATAGACAACACTTTCTCATACTTTCAAATTTAGGATGTAACTTCAATCTTGGTTCATTTAAAGAACAAATACAACGCTATTTTCTGATCTACATTACTATGCTTCCTCATCACAAACATACCTGGAGTTGTGTTTTGATTCATTCGCACATTTTTATCTCACAAACACTGCATATTTAGGCTGAGTTTTTCTCTTGAACAGAAAATACTCCTTGTGATGTCACGTGGTAATAAAGAAAGTGCTCCAATGTGTTTTTAAACCCAATACAACTTCACTAAAATCATTTGAATGAGTTCAGCCTGGGAAATGCCAAACTCTAAAGAACTATAGCTGTGACTTGAAAACTCTCAGTACATCACAAAGCGGAACAAAGCATTTTAAGTTTTGGAGATGTAGACAGACCACTCAAACATGTGCGAATGAAGCAAAACACAACTCCAGGTATGTCAGATGAAGAAAAGAGGTTGAGTGCTTCACTGGGTCATAAAAAAGTTTAAAATAGCAGTACAGAGGCTCTACGAGGGTAAACTAGTAATCTTAACAGAAAGTTACCCTTCCTGAAAAATGTAAAAGTGGGCAAGGTACAAACCCAAGGCACTCCAACTGACTATATTAAAAGTCCTTTATTACATGAAGGGACGCCAACACATTTCGACCAGCAGGATGGTCTTCGTCAAGGCATAAGGACCTGGAGTTGTGTTTTGTTTCATTCGCACATTTATAACTCACAAACTCTGCATATTTAGGCTGAGTTTTTCCCTTACACTGAAAAATACTCTGTGTGATCCACCTTGTGATGTCATGTGGTAATACAGGAAGTGCTCCACTGTGTGTTTTAAACTAAATACAACTTCACTAAAATCATTTGAATGAGTTCAGGCCTGAAATTGCCAATTTCTAATAAACTATAGCTGTTCACTTGAAAACTATCACTACATGACAGCACAAAGTGGAACAGAGCATTTTGAGCTTTGGAGATGTAGACAGACTACTCAAGCATGTGAGAATGAAACAAAACACAACTCAGGTATATTTTTGATGAGGCAACAACATTCGAACATGACTTAAGACTCACAAGTCAGTTTTGCGTAATATAAGACCTTTAACACTAATCATTTCGAAATGTTAAAAAAAACACATTGCAATCATGAGTATGCCTACACTTTTGTCCTTATCAGATTTGTATAAGGTTAAATGGAACTGACAGTGTTGACGAGAAAACCATTTGTTCGATTTGAGGAAGCTGTAATGAGTGCAAGGTCACGTCTTAATTATGGCCTTTAGTAATGCTCACCACGAGATGTTTACAGATAACCATTTATACTTGTCTGGGCTATTGATTGGGCATAGGACGACATATCATTATCATGACACCTGAAAGCTCTCTGAATATTGGCAACAACAACCAATGTTGGATATAAAAAAAAAAAAAAGAGAATAATTAATGATCAAGTTAAGATGTACATTTCTATTTCTATTCAATTTCTGTTTGAAACTGAATGCATTTGAGGCTTGTCTGGCTCTCCTTGGTTCAGGTCCCACAGCTCGTACATGCTCCACTTTTATATCCTACCTCTCCATACTGCTGTGTTTCTTTATGTTGCCACTATTAGTCTGATGTACCACTGTATAGATTATGGTTACAGACATTTAAAAAAAAATAAACAAAAAAACATACCCAGTTACCAAATGATACAAAATCTAGTGTAACAGCAAGAAATTAGTGTGATCTTACATAATCTCAGAACTTGTAGTGTAAACAAAGCCATTTAACAATTTTTGTTAGTATTAAAATTGAATATTGGCAATAAGCACCAATGCTGGAGGTAAGAGGAAAAACACAGAATTTTTGTGAGTTTTACAAGTTAATTAATTATCAAGTTAATTGAGCAAAGTGTATAAATTTGAATAATGAAGTCCAAACCTCAGATTTTGTTTTGTATATTCATGAGGCATGATTTAATTACTAACAACTAGCCTGTGGATTAGGTTAAGCTGCAGCTGCCATTTTTGTGACCCAGATGTGAGTTTTGATTTAAGTGCAATGTTTTTGTAGCTAAACCACAGATAACTAAAGCAGTTTTACACAATCTCCGGACTCTGAATTCCTCTTTTAGTTACATTCATTTATCAGTGCACCACAAACGTAACCCACTTTCACTTGAGAATTTTGTGTGGAAATATGCCGTATCTTAGTATCATAAATCTTTAGCTAAGGATTCGAACACTGTTGCAAATGTAAAGACTTTGATTTACGATGTTCATTTATTCACTAGGGCAAATGCATTCTGGTTTATTGTTGTTGAAGATGAAGAAGATCTATGCTTGTTAACTTGAAACATGTGCAGGATTGTATAGTATTGATTTTACCTGTCGATGATGGCGCACATATCCAGACTGACGTTCTCAAAAGCCCCCACGGTGCCTCTCTCCACTGCATGCAGATCAGGCAGGCTGGTCGTCCACTAAGATGGCCTGCATACAGCCCTGGAAGGACCTCTGTGTGGGCGGGAACAGGGTCTGAAGGAAATACCCTGAAAAATACAAACAAAAAAGTGAAAATGACCTATAAAATACTGGAAAATGGAAACTTGCTTGTGTCCATGAAGATGTTTCATTACTTTGCCTAGAATGTTCCTCAATATGGCATTAAACTTGTTTTTCTTCATGAACGCCACCAGGCCAAGTTACAAGTCAGAGCTGTTGAGAGGAAACTCTACTAACAATATGTTTTTGATAAGCGTTTAATAAGCGTTTTTGAGCAATAAAAACAACTGTTTAGTGAATATATCCATAATAGGTGAGCTCAATGCTGTACTGTGAAACATTTCTGGCAAAGCAAAAGCATCTCCATGGAAACAAGCAGCTGGTCGATCTTGCACTCGAAAAGTTAGTTTGGAAAAAGAAGCCGGAAAGATTTCAAATTGTGAGTTAAAAGAGTAATCAATGATTTTACCCTCTGAAAATGTGCGGAGTGGTTTGATCCTGCACTTGAAAAGAGCACTATCAGCAGAAGCAGAAATCAAAGTTAACTACGACATCATCCTTGATAAGACCGAGCAGAGCAGAGCGCTGCTGCGTCAGAGGCTCTTTACAGCCCATCCACGAGCCCATTAGCCTTCAGCAGAGACTAAGGCCACAACAACGCACAGAGGACATAGGCTTTACTATACGCACCTTTATGAGATACAAGAGCCAATGGGCCGTCCACAGGCTGAACAGGCCTTGGCTAAACAGGGACAAGGCAAGGACAAAACTAGCCTTAAAAAGCCAGTTTGTGTCTACTATGAAAATGAGCAAGTACTCTAACAATTGTAGGTCCAGTTGCACTATTTATCTGTTTCAAAAGCAGCTTCCTTTGCCCATCAGTCCTGCTGATTTTGTAGTCTTTATTGTGATCAAATACTAATTACCAACACAACATAGGAAATACAGTATATAATAATGTCAAAGCATTTACATTGGAACTAAAAGACTTTTTTTGAGTAAGTATATTTTTTACAACTGTATTACACCCGAATGCCCCTGGGGAGGTCTGTTCTTCCAAAGAGCTTTTGCATAACACTAGTTATGAATGCACGCCTGCTACACATTTAAAAGGTCACAGTGGATTGCTTTTATGCTGCGTACACTGGACAATAGTAAACAAAGAGGAAATACTGATGAGATAAACGGATGCTAATATCCTCAAAGGAACAAGAATGTGGCTACACTAGACCTTTACCTACGTGCACAAGTATCATACAAAAATACTGTAAATGACTGTATATAAGGTCACAGATACGCTATAGGATGTAGGTTACAGGCATTTTGAATTCAATCTTTGCCTGAAGCGTACAGGTCTGCCATAAAACACTAGAGCTCAATGACATCTCCATCATGCGGATGTTATAAGCTGTCACAAGCTGCAGCACGGCGATCAACCCCAAGGCCAAACCATCAAAGAGGCCTATTACAGAGGGCATATGTGGCGCCTCTCTGTGTGTATGGAGGACATAATTGTAGTTTATAAGCCTGGGTGACTCGCCAGCCAAAAGGAGGGGAACACATAACTAAAAATGTGCTGTGCTTTAGCTGCTCTCATTTCCATTTGCTCCCGAGAAGTAGCTCCTGTCATCTGTGCCATCTGCCTGTTGTGCTGTACACCTGTCTGCTGTCTGCACACAGAAGAGAGGGATGGAGCTCCGAGCCTCAGCCCAGCTACAGTCTGTGTCCAGAGGAAACTACAGCCGAGGAGTCACTGGAAATACAGCTGCCTTCTCAGTGGATCTAATGAGCAGGGGGAGTGTGGGACCACAGAAGTGAAGAAGTGAAGTGGAGAAGATGTACAGGTTTAGACGGTTCAGATTCAAGGCAAAGTCTGTGCAGTGAATAACACTCTACTTAGTGTTTGTGGTGTTTTGGTAGTGGATGCTAATGAAGGCCATTTTATTTTACTTTGTTTACAAGTTTCAGATTGACTGAAGACATTGAAACGATGTTATAGTCAGCAACTGCATGAGTTCAAGAAAAACATGTTTTGTCTAAAATGTGACAAGCTTTAAATACAGCGTTTTTTAAAGTTACAAAACACATTTTAATTAAAGCAACCTCACAATGTCTTATGCCATGACTTCAGAATCATGGCATTTGAAAACTTTCTCATACTTTTTTCCAATTTCTCAGACTATCATTAGCATATAGAAAAATAATATCTCAATATACAGGTCGAAGATTTAAATCCCAATGGTGCTGGCTCACTGTCTCAGCTCTCCTCACATGAACAGAGGTGATGGGCAGCGCTCTTCTTACACAATATCACATAGATGCACACATCTGCAGCTGAGGCACCACATCTGGGCAATAGCCAAAAGAGCTCAAAGCTACAAAATTAAACCAACACAAAAGGAATATTATATGTAAATCAGAAAATGGTTGCCAATAACAGCATCAGTTTTAGAGCTGTTTAGCATTTTCTTTTATCACAAAGCACACCATTTGATTGTGGGATGCTAAAATGAATTATACATGTATGTTGACTTACCTCTACAAAAATAAAGTGTCTGCAGTGTCTGTATTTTTATAACTTTCCAGCATAATATTACACAAGAAGTCACCAATTGATCTCCTGCTGCCAAAACCAGCTTGACATTTTTCAGTATTTGAACGCTAATGAAAATTCCTAAAAAGCATTGCAGTCTAGTGCTTACAGGGTCTGCTGTAATAGAAAACATTTCCTGTGTTTGTTTTGTGTCCTCCATGTCTGTACCATCACCATGAAAAGAAAGCGTCTTTAAAAAGGCATGACCAACATCACGGCACGCACAGTCACAGACACCTCAAGTACATGCATCAAATCCACACTAAAACGCCCCTCTCTTTTCAAGGGAACCAGGCTGTTGTGTGATTAATGTGCTTTTCACTGTCTCATGTCTAATTCATCACAACCTTTAAGAGAAAGGGCCCATACATATACAAGGCTGATACAGAGGGTGTGCATTATAGAGCTATGTGGGTGTTAATGTTTAAAGTCCTATATTACACAAAATAGACTCTTTGAGCTTTAAGCCATGTTAGAGCATAGTTACCTCATCAAAAACATATCTAGAGTTGGGTTTTGTTTCATTCACACATGTTTGAGTGACTCTGTATTATTAGTCTGTCTACATCTCCAAAGCTCAAAATGCTCTGTTCCACCTTGTGATGTCATGAAGTCTTAGTTTTCAAGAGAACAGCTACCATTTTCTTTTAGTTCAGTAGAGATGGGAAATTCCTGAACAGATACTATCCACATGATTCTAGTGAAGGTGTATGGAGTTTAAAAACACAGTGGAGAACATCTTGCATTATTACATGACATCACAGAGTGGAACAATGTGTTTTCAGGTTGAGAGAAGAACTCAGCCTGCATATGCAGGATTTATGTGTTAAACTTGTGTGAATGAGACAAAATACAACTCCAGGTATGCTTTTGATGAGGAAACATTATAACACAGAACAGACAATAGTGTAATATAGGATCTTCTAAACTCTATAATCCAGATGGATTTTTATTCCATTATTGCATAGTGCAAAAACAACACTGTTCCATTTGAATGTGAAAAATGCATTATACAAAAACCCTAGGTCTGAAACAGTTATATTATCTCTTTAGTTTTTGTGAATTATTGTCCCGCACCAAGCAACTCCCTCCCTATATCCATAAATCTCCTCTGGTCTTCCACAAACAAATATATTTAGTGGGGTCGGGCAATGAATCAAATTTTAATTTTTGTTGCAGTCATGTCTAATCGTCAATTATATGCTTACAGGTTTTTAATCTAGAAGTTTACAATCAATCATCTGTCAGGAAAACTTTTGGAATGGATGTCAGATTTGGATCAGAAGAAGAAAATTCATTATTTTTTGTGTTAAATGGCAATGACGAATAGTTGTGTGCTCATGAAATTAATGCTAAATTCTAAAGCAGAGTGCAGCCAAATAATGATAATGATAATAATGATGATGATAATAATGATGATAATAATAATAATAATCATACTGTGGGCAATGCCATATCCAAGAAACAAGAAGGTGATGGACTCCCAACCCAAAAGTTATGAAGTCCACTGCTTGTTATGTTATTGTATTTATTGTTAATTATTAATTTTTATTAAGTACAAGCTGATCCACAATCCCATACACCACCTGTGTCTGTCTCTAAATCACTCCTACACCCAACATAAGGCTTATGCTTAACAACTTGAGCATATTCCTATGATATAAAACAAAAATAATTTAATTAAAAAGAAAAACAAAAATAGTTAATAAAAAACCCACAAAAAACAAAAACAAAACAAAGGCAGAATATCCAATTAAAAATGTGACTCTTGAATCGTCAAATCGAGTTAAAACAGCTAACGAGGCACGGCGAGCCCAAATAAACTCTTACATTTGAACATGCTTTATTGTGCAAAGTCTAATTAATTCCTGCTGCTCATTAGGGGAACTTTTGTTTATCTGTACAAGAAGCGCATGACTCCACGGTCTGTTTGCGTGAACGAAAAACCCAATCTGAGGCGGTCATGTGTCAGTCACTTATTAATTTCTTTAAGCTCAGGGTCACGTTTTAGGAAGCAGTCTCCGTTAAATGGGGTTTGGGTTCTGGAGGCTGCTCCCACATCCAAACACAGAGGGGTGGAGATGAGACGAAAATAAGACCGCGCCAGGGAGGTAAGAATAAAATAAATTGGAAACGTAAAGATAAGGTAACAGGCAATGGGAAAACATAGGAGTTCACATTTAAATGCAAAAGTAAAAATGTTTGGGTTTACGAAAGCGAGCAAATGAAGTTGAGAAATATTATTTAGCAACTCTACAAAAATTTTAATCTTATTAAGTTTAAATGACTTGAATTTAGAACATGTTATATTGATTTGAGTAAATTTCATAATTAAAACGATCTACCAATGGGACAAGTCTTTATGTACTTAAAATAGGAATATACACACTGAAGATAAAAAAACAACAACTCTTTGGATTTAAAGGTGCACTGGGGCGGAGGGTCTGTGACCTG